ACATAAGATTTGTTTTGGAATATGAATTTAAGAAAGGGTCCAAAACTACAAAAGATAAAAGAAAGTCATAGGTATGGAAATATATGTTAGTATGGAAAATTAGAAGATAAAAGAAATGTCTCCTGATGAGAAAGTATTTTGTCTGGTAAAGTAATATTCCAAGATGAAAGAGGACAAAACTTAGAATGTAAAGGAGTTGTGAATGTTTAAGTAAGTCACAGAAGGTTTGCAGAAGGTAAATCTCTAAAAGTTTGTATTTGTGATTAAATTGGCTGTAGTTAGCAGTCAGTTAATTGAACTTTAATGTACTGATATGAAACAAAGTCTGAAACATTGATCTGCTTTACCTATGAGATAATTTTCTTGTGGTTTGTTAGGTTTTATTATTTGGGGAAACTAAATATTAAAGGAATTAGGGTTGTACCTGTTTCAAAGTCTTAAATGATTACTATGTAACTGGTTAAACAACTGTTTATTTAGATTCTAACAATATGGTTGACATCCTAAATATATGCGACTAAATACATGCATCTGAGAACTATATCTGTCTAAGCCTTGTCTAAATGTTATGTAAAAGTTTGTAAAATGAAAGTTTATGTAAGTTTACTGGCAAGATAACCAATAAGTGCTCTCTTTTATATATTGTATCTGATGTAGAAGGGCTCCACTGTCTTTTGAAGACCTGCCTTATATCTGTTTGCTTTGACTAAGCTAATTTCTGCTCATTAATTCTGTTTCCTAAATGTATAAGAGATTTGCTTTTTGTTAGCCCGTTCAGACCTGTGATTATTGTTACTGTATACTATGTATATACTGTATACTTTAAAAGTTAGACTAGTTAAATATAAAGCTTTGGAGAGCACTTTGCCAAGTTGGTGTTCTCCAAACTAAAATTAGGTATAGCAAAAATCTTGGGTTTGTGAAAATAACAAATTTGGTTGGTATTTATTTGTGTGTTTGATGTTTTATAGCTGAATAAAGTTACCTGTTGTCAGTAAGTTAAATATACAATTTTGTGTTACTCTTCACACTGGAATTGGAATTTAAGTGTATTTTTGGAAGGTATTAAGGAGAACTGGATCTGTTTAAAGGTGACATTGTAAAACATGGAAGCATTCTGCCACTTTTTCCACAAAAAGAAAGTTAAAATCTCTCTTAGTCTTTCTTTGACTCATGTTTCAGATGTAATGTTGTATTATTTGTGAAGAGTCCCACCTTACCTGAGATAAGGCTCTGCCTCCCACCTTACTCCATGTTAGAATGGCTCCAAAATAGTCTAAACTTCAGCTCATTTAAAGTTGTATTCAAAAGATTGATTTTTGTTTTAAAGATTACTATTATCTCAAACAGGGAATGTATATAACTAAATAAAGGTTTAAGATTATAAAAGTCGAATTGGGCTTGTGAGTCAGTGGAAGAGCACTTGCCCAACATGTGTGAGGCACTGGATTCGATTCTCAGCACCATGTATCAATAAGTAAAATAAAGATCCACTGACAACTAAAAAAGATTATAAAAATCATTTTTCTTTGTTCATAGCTATTACATAAACTGAATATGTTTTTGCTCTGTTAATTTCATTTTGTATTTTCCTTGTAAACTTTATACCTGTTGCCTATTAGTGTTTCGAAGAGATACTGCTTCTAAACAACAACAACAACCTGGGTTAATTTGAGAGAATAAGCATCACCTACAGGTCAGATAATATATAATGCTGACTTCCTACTAATGCTAATGCCAATTAAATGAGAGGGGTATCTGTAAAATTATAGATATTGAGTTATAACCTATTATTCCCTCTTAAAGACTGGTGAAACTGGCTTGCTGGATGTTTAAAACAAAAAATTGGATCCCAAAGTCAAGGAAGTAAAAGCGTCAAGGAGAAAGCAGCCAACATTTTGGCCTTTGCCCTCTAAGGTCAGCTGGGACCCAAGAATGTCAGTACCCTGCTTTGGGTCCTTCAACCCTGGAGAGTCACCCGATGGGCAGATCAGGGAGATGAAGAGGATCCCAAAGAACAGGAAGCTAATCAGTGCACATTCTACAAAGAGGAGGGTCATTGGAGATGAAAATGTTCCTGATGCTTCCAAGAGAAGGCACATGAGGTCAGCCAAACCCCAACCCATCCTGGAAGGTGGCATCACTGGCAGAGGAAAGCTAAAGGAGCCAGGAGGCTTCAAACATGTCCCCAAGTGTGATCTCTGAGGAATCTTAGCTGATTCTGAAGAGTAAGGGGAAAAAGGTCAGTTTTGACCAACTTGGTCTTAAACATCTGGCAGGAGAGTATGGTATAAAAACACAGTTCTACATGGACATTTAGAAGGAAAATCAATGGTTTTTATTTTTTAATGTAACTTAAGATGGACACTGGTGTCAGCCCTACCAAAAGTAAGTAAAGCTGGAGGTTATAAAGGAAGGGTTCCTGTGTGAGAGTGAATAACAGTAATGATCACAAGAGTCCCAAATTTATCCGAGTTAATTTGAGTCTGATCTCATAGACCTACAAATCTTCTTCACCTCCTACATTGATGAACGTGATCTGTTTTTTTCAATGATAAGATTATGAGTTTCTGACCTCGTGGTTTTCAGAGACTGGCTGAAATATTAATTGTTTTTTGTGCTAATCATTTAGAAAAAAAGGAATGTTCTGCTGTCTTTGTGTTGTCGTAGCATGACCCCTGCCTTATGTATTAGCTTATTTGGGTTCTGGCTGACCAACCTCTGTTAGGTGATGAATAAAAAGATCCTGAATATAAAAATAAAATAACCCAACTTCTCAGAATATATCAATAAGCTTAATAGACGTCTCCTCCACCAACCCTAACTGCTTTAAGATAGCTTTTTTTTTTTTTCAATACAAAGGATTGAACCCAAGGGTGCTTAACCACAGAGCCACATCCCCAGCCCCAAGTCAGTTAGGCCCTCACTAAGTTACTAAGGTCGGCTTTGAACTCATGATCCTCCTGCCTCAGCCTCCAGAGCTAAGACGGCCCTTCAGCCTTTATAAAGCTGTGCCTCACTATATCACAACAGAAAAAGACCAAGAATGGGGACAGAGTTGTTTTCATACAAAACCAAGTATGGTGTGTACCTCGTTAAAAACTGACGGGCCAATAAATAAAGTAAAGGTCCATCAACAACTAACAACAACAACAAACCTGACGGACAACACACCACCACCATCACAGAGCATATGTTACCCTGCACTCCAGTGCAGTCTGCATTTCCATTAGCCATAAAATAGTCTTGCTATCAGTGGGGGTGGTGGGTGATCAGCATGTTGTCTTTTTTTTTGGGGGGGGTGGGTATTGGGGATTGAACCCAGGGATACTCTACTACTGAACTAATCCTCAGCACCTTTTATTTATTTATTTTTGAGATAGGGTCTCCCTAAGTTACTAGCCTCAAACTTGCCATCCTCCTGCCTCAGCCTCCCAAGTTGCCGCTGCGCTGGTTCAGTGTTTTTTCTCAAGTGATGACACCATTTCTTTCCTCTGGAACTTTGATAAGGAAACGAGAACTCCATCCCTTATACCCCCACAATTTGAGACGCAGTAACCTGTCAGAGGATCTAAAACTTGTCCTAGGAGATAGGCGGGGGTAGCTGTCTTAACAAGTATTTTATGGGGGGATGACTTATTTATTTGTTTATTGGGTACTGGGGATTGAACTCAGGATGCTTTACCACTGAGCCACCTCCCCAGTCTGTTTTTTTTTTTAAATATTTTATTTTGAAACAGGCCCTCACTATATTACTAAGGCTGGCCTTCAACTTGAGATCTTCCTGCCTCATCCTTCCAAGTCACTGAAGCTTATTCATTAGTTACCAGAATGTTAGGTGAGATACACAAGGTAAGGAGAATGGCTAATAAAGGTCCTAAGAGAGCCCACGATAATTTTGGCTTTCTTACAATAATTTTGTCTATTTTTACAAAGATTTTAGGATAGTCTCCTTTAACTGAGTTAAAGGCTAGGAGTAAAAATAAAAACTCCATCCTGAATCTTTTATTGTTCAGAAGATCCATCATTTCTTCCATTGAGATGCATTTTGGAACCCTAATGAGTCACATGTAAATCACATTTAATTTAAATAAACCACTGTAGTCCTGGAAGCCTTGGTGATACAGGAATTCCCTTATCCTTATTTGTCAGATACCCAAGGTCAACTAAGATATTCATGGAAAATTCTAGAAACAACTCATAAGTTTTATAATGTGCTGCGTGCTGTGGTGCACTCCTATAATCCCAGTGACTAGGGAGGCTGAGGCAAGAAAATCACAAATTCAAGAGTAGCCTCCGCAATTTAGTGAGGCCATAAGCAACTTAGCAAGTCAGTGTTGCAAAATTAAAAGTATAAAAGGCTGGGGATGTGTGCCCCTGGGTTTAATCCCCAATACAAACACACACACACACACACAGCAAAGATGCATTCAGGGAAAAAAAATTCTGAAATGTCCAAATTTAATTACAAAAGACCAAGAGGTGGTGAAGGGAAGAGATAAAGGAAGTTAACCAGTTGAGGACTACTAAGTGAACCCTACAAAAGTTGGTCCCCCATTTCTGAATGCGTTATTTTTTCTTGAAGTACTAGGCATTGAACCCAGGGGCATTCTATCAGTGAATGGCACATAGCACCACGCCCCCCCCGCCCCCCCCCCCATATGCCCTGTCCTTTTAATTTTTTTTTTAATTTTGAGACAGGTTCTTGCTAAGTTGCTGAGCCTTGAACTTGTGATCCTCTTGCCTCCGTCTCCCAAGCAGCTGGGGTTACAGACGCGGACCACCATTTCCAGCTAGCTCCTGCTCTTGTGTAGTTTCTGGACTACTCACCCCAACCGTTTCAGAAGTAACAGCACTTCTGATGCGTGGTCCACCCGCCCCCAAACTTTCCCTGCTTCACATTATCCACCTCCCTTACCTACAGCCAGGGTAATTTCAACATGTCAACGTAAAACAACAACTGTACTTTAAAGGCTATAAGAAAATAGTGAAATAATAAATAAATAAGAACATACTTTATTCAGAGACAAATCTGAGTGACCATGGCCAGGGAACATGGATTCAATTTACCCTAAGATGACATTTTCAACCATGGGGAAGAGATTACATGAACTTTTATAGGCACAGAACAAAAGAAAGTCATAAATCCATACATTTGCCAATTGCACTGTTGGGTGCATCAGGTAGGCTGTCCAGAGCAGGATGGGAAAATCTTTTCTATAAGGTTCTAGATGCTCTCTTAAATTGTTCTTAGCTTTAAGGCTGGTGGAGACCAGAAGTCCAAGAAGCTCGGTGATATATTCTGAGAATCTTATTTATTAGTAACCAGAAAGTAAGGTGAGATACACAAGGCAGGTGAAAGGGCCTAAGACAGTCCAAGAAGATAATTTTGCTTCCCGACCCGCAATATTCCATCTCTCCAGAATCCCAAAGTTCTTGTTGGCCAAGCTCAGGCAGTCTGCAGGATCTTTAATACAGATGCAGCTTCTTCAGAGAACTTCAGTTCAAAAAGGTAACTCATTTATGCATTTCTTCTTCCATGTTTACATTCTAAAAATGTTCTTGGCTTAGACCTGGTGGCCACACTGTAATTACTCTCTGTTTGTTGCTGGTAGTTGAGGAACTTGTCCCAGGACCTGGTCCCTTTCTGCCTAAGCATCCAATAAGTACTATTATTTCACAGAAGCCTCTGTCTCAGGAGTTTTGGTGTAAGGGTTGGGGATGTAGCTTAGTGGTGAAGCACTTGCCTAGCATATACAAGGCCCTGGGTTTGATCCCTGGCTCTGCCAAGAAAAAAAAAATCCCTTGAGGCAGGTTCTCAGGGAGCTGTGACCCCCCTCTCCCTTGTATCAATAGTGCCAGTTTTCTCTGTGCTTATGTGCCATGATTGATTCATGTCTGGCTCCACCAGTATACCCTCAGCTCCATGGGGACGCTACCAAAATCCTGTGCCAGAGGCCTGACTCTGGGAGTTTCAACAAATCAGGTTTATAAATTTCCCCCAAAAAACAAAACAGAAGAGGCCATAGTGAAAAGCAGGAAAGGAACTTTGTAGTCAATATGACCATATCAGGAAGGCAAGTAGGGTCAAGCATCTGAGCCCTGTCTTCTGGATGCCGACATGAGCTTTAGGTTTATTTATTTGTTTACTTTTGGGACTGGGGATGAAACCAGGGGTGCTTACCACTGAGCTACAGCCCAGCCCTTTTTAGTTTTTGAGATAGGGTCTTGCTAAGTTGCTTAGAATCCTGTCAAGTTACCCAGGCTGCTCTTGAACTTGTGATCCTCCTTCCTCAGCCTCCTGAGTCATTGGGATTACAGGTGTGTGGGCTGCACCTGGTGAGCTTTAGTTTTAACTAGAGGAAGAATTGGGGCAGGAGCTGGCAGGCATGCATAGTTAAGCAATTTTGATCACACTGTGGTTTACTTGATCATTTCGTTCTGGTACTAGGAGGTGGCTCTGGAGAACTTCTTATCACTTGAGGGGGCAATCTCCATTTGCTTCAAGGAATATTTTATGTGATCTCCCATGAAACAATTGCTGCTGCTTCGGGGGGGGGGGGCATTCTCATAACGGGGTGAGGTTCCTGCAAAGCTCTGCTGTCCCTGGAAGGCAAGACACAGGGCAATGAATGACTGGAGGCTTGTAGGCACAGCTCCAGGGGTCAGAAACAGGGTGTTGTAAACGACCCTGCAAATCTTGCCTCGGTCTTGAAGGGGAACAAGGCAGGTTAGGTGCATTTAGGGCTAATAAACCTCGAATCACCAGTTTTTAGATGCATGCTCCTTCAATGATTCACGTGCAGAGCTGAGCTGGTCACAAAGTTTAAGGAAATAAGGGGGACAGACACATCATGAAGGCAGAGATGCCAAGCTTTGTCCTGTTTGTAGTTACCCACTGGGCACCTGCACGCCTGGGTAGAGTCACTGCTTTTAGCAAAAGTCAATTCTCCAAGTGCCTGTTGAGTGACAGTGACCTGAGGCTGGAGTGCATCTGAGGCCTTCTGGGAATGGAGAGCAGACTAGCATGCAGTACTCCATGGCTGAAGGGCACTGAGGAGGAGGAGCAGCCAGGGGTAGGTGAGGCTGGTCTTCCAGCGCATGATGGGCCCATTGCAGTTTTTGTATTTTTTCTTAAACAGGAAGAACAAAAACAAAAACAAAACCCTCCATAGGTTTTTCAGCAGCCAATTCTCTAAGAGCCCTCTTTCTTTCCTGAGGGAGGAAACATGGAAGGGACCAGAGGAGACCTGGGAAGAACATTTAGGGAACATTAGAACATTGGTCCAGGTGAGAGATGACGGTGGTTTGGAGTAGAGAGGTTGGAGTGGAGATGGAGAGGAGGAATCCGGGAGCTATTGTGTAGGTACATTCTCTGCATTAAGTACAAACCACTTGTTTCTCCTTAGTTCCAGGAGGATTTTGATGTGCAGGCTGCTTCCAGTCTTTTATTTCCCTCCTTGTATATGTCTTTTGAACTTTTAATTATCCCTGTTGTTGAAGCTCCATTAATTGAGATTGCTGCAAAATTGAAAGAAGTCATTTATAGAATACAGTCATCTTAGGTGGGAACACAATTTTTGGGATGAGCTCTACTATGAAGATTCTCACCGTGTGCCATCTCACAGATGCCCTGAATTCATGGCAATTCCCCGTGGTGCCCCATGACACTCTCCAACAGGGCCTTTAAAAAAAAAGTTATTTTATTTGTTCTTTTTAGTTATACATGACAGTAGAGTGTATATTGACATACAAACATGGAGTGTAACTTCCCATTCTTGTGGTTGTACATGATGTGGATTTACATGGGTTGCGTATTCATATGTGAACACAGGAAAGTTATGTCTGATTCCTTCTACTGTCTTTTCCCTTTCCATAGCTCCTCCTTTCTCTCCATCTCTCCTGTCCCATCCGGTGAACCTACTACTCCCCACTATTGTGAGTCAGCATCTGCATATCAGAGAGAACATTTGGCCTTTGGTTTTGGGGACTGGCTTATTTCATTTAGCATGACAGTCTCCAGTTCTATTATTTTCTGGCAAATGTCATAATTTCATTTTTTCTTCATGGCTGAGTAATATTCCAGTGTGGTTATAGACCAAATTTTCTTTATCTATTCATCTGTTGAAGGGCACCTAGGTTGGTTCCATAGCTTAGCAATTGTGAATTGAGCTGCTATGAACAATGATGTGGCCACGTCACTATAGTATGCTGATTTTAAGTCCTCTGGGTATATGTTGAGGAGTGGGATAACTGGGTTAAATGGTGATTCCATTCCAAGTTTTCTGAGGACTCTCCATACTGCTTTCCACAGTGGTTGCACCAATTTGCAGTCTCAATGAATGGGTGTCCCATTTTCCCACATGTGTCAACCGAGCCTCTTAACTGTGAAACTGTTAGCAATTTGGGTCAGCTAATTCTTTGTTGGGTGGGGCTGTCCTGTGAGCTGTAGGATATTTAGTAGTGACCTCTACTCACTAGATACCAGTAACAATCATCCCTTTAGTGTGACAATGACAAAAAGTCCTCAGATATTGCCTAACGTCAAAACTGTTTCCAGTTGAGAATCTCATGCCTACAGAACAAGGTCAGAGGAAGCCCTGTACGTGGGACTGAGCCTGTGAGAATTCAGTCTCCTTCCTTCTGCAGACTGCGCCCCTGCCATGGGACATACACAAATGAACATTAACCCACATGTGTGCACTGACTCTGATGAAATTGCCCTCTTAAATGCTCTCCTATATCTGCATTGAGTTTGAAATACCACTGGATCAAGAGGTTTATGGATGGTTATGTGCCCACCAAACATATAACTAGGTAAGCCCCCCATTTCCCATCACTGTTTTTCTGCTTTCTCTCTCTCTCTGTGTGTGTGTGTGTGTGTGTGTGTGTGTGTCTGTGGGACATCCAGCCACTGAGCCATCCCCAGCCCTATTTTGTATTTTATTTAGAGACAGGGTCTCACCGAGTTGCTTAGTGCCTCACTTTTGCTGAGGCTGCCTTTGAACTTTCGATCCTCCCGCCTCAGTCTCCAGAGCTGCTGGGATTACAAGCCTGCACCACCGTGTCCAGCTTTCATTTCTTTTATGTGTTGGAACTAAACCCAGCAGCACATTAGAACTGAGTTACATCCCTAGTCCTTCTTATTTTTTTATTTTGAGACAAGGTTCTCACTAAGTTTCTGAAGGTCCTGCTAAGTTGCTGAGGCTGGCCTTAAACTTGTGATCCTCCTGCCTCAGCCTCCTGAGTCCCTGGGGTTACAGGTGTGTGACACCATGCCCAACCCATCACTACTTTTCATCATCTTACCTATGGTCTGCCATTCGACCAGCGCGAGCTTCATAAAAGAAGGTTCGATGCATAAGAAATTGCTAGTGAGTTTTAAATTAAAGAGACAGATTCTCATTTACCTTTAACCCCAGCTCCGAGACGGCTTCTCCTAGCTCCTGCCTGTAGCCACCTAATGCAGTGGCGAGGTTTACAGAAGAGACTAGCGAGAGAGGGAGAGCACGCCAGGGAGTGAGCTTTTATTGGGAAAAAAAAAATTCAAGGGAAAATCCTATCCAATGAAGGTTAAGGGGGGCAGCATCCCAAGGTCAGGGCCGGCGATAGGGTCTTCAGGTCAGTGGCCAGGCACGCCTCTGCATGGCCAGGCACGCCTCTGCCCGGACAAGCCCTCGGACCTGGGAAAGGGTGTGGGATGGCTTTAACACCATTATGTCTAAGCGCCTCTCACCCAGCCAGGGAGGTAACTCAAATCTCGTGCGAGGATGGCCTCCCACACTATGGAACACATTCTTTAAAGTCCAGTTTAAATTTCATTTCTTCCATGAAACCTCCCCACCTACTCAGCTTCCTGTGTCTGGTCAGGTCAGTTGAATGATTGATTGATTGATTCATTCAAATATTTCCCAAGCTTTTACTAGGTGCCAGGCATTGTTCTAAGTTCTGGGAATACATCAGTGAACAAAGCAAAGTGTGTACTCTCATGAACTTACATAGGAGAGGGAAAGAGACAATGAATGAATGAATGAATGAATGAATGAATGAATGAATAGTGTGGTGTTAGGGAGTGACCCTTGAGATTTAGAGGGCTTGCTACTCTATTCTCCTTCTGATCTGTACTAGGTAGCCTGTAAAGATGGCCCACAACTGTTACTTCCTTCTCTGCATGTGCATGCTGCTCTTTATATCAAGAATTTGGGCTGGTAGGTAACCTGGCTCAGGGTTAGAGCACTTTCCTAGCATGCATGAAGCCCTAAGTTTGACCCCCAACACTGCCAATAAACAAACAAAAAGAATCTGGGTTGGCTCCATAACACTTGACTAATAGAATTTAGTGAAAGTGATTTTTCAGGATTTCCAATATCAATTCTTAGAAAAGATTGTTGGCTTTTTTTTGTTTGATTTTTGGTCTTTGGTACTACAGACTGAATCCAGGGGCACCCTAACACTGTGTTACAACCCCATCCACTTTTATTTTTATTTTTTAAATTTTGAAACAGGGTCTTGATAAGTTGCTGAGGGTTTCACTAAATGGGTGAGGCTGGCGTTGAACTTTTGATCCTCTTGCCTCAGGTTCCCAAGTAGCTGGGATTACAGGTTTGTGCCACTGGGCCCAGCTAGTTGACTTTCTTTTCTTTCCTTTCCTTATTTATTTTTTACTTTATTTTCTTGTGTGTCATTTTTTTTCGTGGTGCCGGGAAGCGAACCCAGGGCCTCATGATGTGACACAGTGGCTCTACCGCTGAGCTACACCCTCAACCCAATTTCATGCTTGATTCTAGAATTGGCAACGCTTCATTCCAGTAAACAGATTAATAAGTGTTTGGTAGGACTGAGCAAAAGAGTTTGGTTTTATGGACAGAGAAAGACTGAAGAAAGAGAAAAAAAGAACAAAAGGCAGATTGGTTTTTTCAAAGTGACTTTCCCTTTAAGGCAGGGGCAGGGGACAGAATGATAGGAAAACAGTTCATATCAGGTTATTTCAAGTATTTTTTGTGTAAGAATTAAAGGAGAGAGAGAGAGCTTCATTATCATTTCAATTGAAATTGACCTGTTTGGGAAATTTGCCTATAAACATTCATAATCCCGATTTCTCAGAAGATCAGATAGCTTAGTTTCAGATTGGTGATGTGAAACCTTAACGTGAGTGATTTTATTTTTATTTTTAGCCAGGACTGTTGGGGCCGAATGCAGGCACTTAATCCAAAACAATGGCCTCCTGTGCTTTGTGTTTAACAGGGCAGAGCCTGTCTGAGCTGGGAGTGGAGGGGCTGTGTGGTTCCTGCAAGTGGGTGAAGCTGTCAGCTGGGACCGAGAGTCCAAGTGCCCGGGAGCAGGTCCTGCAATCAGGTTTAACACCTGGCTGGTTACAGATGCCTTCAGAACACAATAGCAAAACAAAAGGTGTTTGCTTTGTGGGAAGCTGGTCTAAGCCACCTGGGTCAGTGGAGTTTACAACTCAAGCTTCATATGGGTGTCTGTGATGTGCCTGGGGGTGGGAGGTTGGGGCCACTCTGATGAAGCTTATCTTCCTTGAAGGTGTTGTCTCCATAGTAAAGGTGGAACGCTATCACTACTGGTGACAAGATGTCAGAAGATGCAGAGAGCATGCTTGAGGAAGGGGATAGACTAGAACTGCTGTGGCACAGAAGATATGCCAAACACACACACACACACACACACACACACATTTATTGCTTTTCTGGAAACTCCTTGCCTGTTTAACCCAACACAAGGAACTCGGATTATACACCACACTTAGAACAGTCGGTGTTCAGCCCATGCTGACTTGCTGACTGTAACTGGAGTCCTTGGCCCAGGTGGTCTGCACAGGCCAGGCTCGGCCACCCACCCCAATACGCCCATCAAAGAGAACAGAAGGAAAAGACCTTTAATCAGCATGAACACCAGAAGAACAGATGCAGGGATACAGCGACCAAAGATATGTCTTCAAGGAATGGACAGAAACTTTGAGGTTTCATAGAAAAAGGAAACACAAGCGAGGGTTGGAGATTTGTACGGCTGGGGGATGTGTAGAGCTGGTAGAGTAAGACATCTTGGTCAGGTTCTGGTCTGGTGGGTCATTATCTCAGGGCTGGTTCTGTGAAGCTCCCGGGAAGGTCATCATTGCTTGAGGGGGTGACTGGGTCCCCATGTTGAAATGACTGCTCCTGCTAGAGGGGAGCAGCTTTGACTTTGTCATGGGGTCATGGTTCCTGCTTAGGGGGTCATCTCGTCATGGAACCTGTTCTAGCAGTCAGTATTAAGCCACTTGTTATTAAGATACTTTTCAACCAGGCCCGCGGTTCCTGGAACACAAGGTAGCTGCAGAGGAAAGTGGCTCAGATGCAAAAATGATTTTTAAAAAGGTAAGTGGAGTCAGAAAATGGAGTTGGTTGGGCCAGTGACTTGGTCCTCCTTCAGAAACTCTGCACGAATGACCTCAGCCCCCACACATGACTCTATGAAGGCAGCATGATGCCCATGTTACAGGTGAAGAAACTAAGGCTTGGAGACGTTAAGTAACTTGTCGGGAGTCCCTAGCACTAGGCAGGGACAGAGCCAGAATTGGCCCAGCAGGTCTGCCACCTCGAAGACTTCCCTGCAGAAGCAGAGGTGCAGAGGCTGCCTTGGCTCCTCCTCAACTCTCCCACCCCAGGTTAGTTCAGGGATGGTTCTGGACTAATGATTTTGCCTTCCTGACCTAAAGATCTCTAGGACCAGAGGGTACCAATGACTTGTCTATACTCCAGGATTGTAGGACAAAGAGAGCAAAGCAGATCCTCCTCCTACTGGACTACACTTTCTTGGTTGTTCTCTGAAGGAATGGAAGAGACTATCTGCACTTCCTTTTATAAAACTCTAGTGTGCATAAGAAGACCAGGCTGGCCAGTCTTCTCCCTCTAGCAGATATCTTCTCCCTCTAGCAGCCCCGAGTCTGGGAACTGAGTGGGGCTGGGGCTTACTGTAAGGTCCTGCCTGTCCTGCCCTCTATCTTAAAGCTCTGTGGTTCTTTCCTTACAACCTACCCCAGAAGCCTCAAACCACAGACTCACCAAGGTCTAGACAAGGATCACTCACCTCCTCTTTTTTTCCTCCTGAGGACACTTGTGTCTTTTCTGCTGTCCTGGCCCATGGCCACCCATAGACCACCTCCACAGTAGGCAGTGAGCGGGGGGGGGGGGGGGGCAGAGGCAAGAAGGATGTGGAAGAGGAAATCAGTCATCAGATATGAGGGAGGGGGGTCTGGGTGAACAGTAAGGACCCCCCCTCCCTGAGATGCCAGCATACTTGGCATAAGAACTTCAGGAAGCCCCCCTCCACCCTTCCTCCTCAACTTCCTAGTTAAAAAATAACTTGAAGTTTCCGGACATATGTGCATCCTGTTGGAAGGCCATGGAATTAGCCAGATGGTGCCGAATGTCAGTCAGGGTTCCCTTTGTTTTGCAACAGGGTAAAACGGGTTCCTGTCTGTCTCCCCTCCCCCCTCTCCCTATGCACCACCTCTGACCTCATTTCATTCAGAATCCCTGGGAGAGATTGTGCTGGAATCCCAGTTTTTCCTAAAGTGTGAAAAACACACCACTGATAATATGTCAGATGATTTTCAAAGGTAAACAGCTAGACAGAAGAAATCAGAACTGTATTTATTTTTTTTTTCAGTTCTGTTTTGGTGATTAACAGTGGGCTTCTAGTTATTATAACAATAAGCCCTTTCCCTTATAATTATATTTAACTTTGTTTGTTTATTTTGGTACTAGGGATTGAACCCAGGGGCACTTAAACCCCATTTCCCCCTTTTTAATTTTTTCCTCCTTATTTTAAATTGCTTAGGGCTTTACTTAGGGGCTGAAGCTGGCTTTGAACTTGTGATCTTCCTGCCTCAGTCTCCTTAGTCTCTAGGATTACAGGTATGTGCCACCACGCCAGGCTACAAGTAATTTTAAAAGTATGTTGATTTTAAGAAAAAATATTAAAGGGTGGGAAATTTATTTATCTTCATTGGTGCCGACAAGGACCAAGTACCGGGTCTCTTATAGGAGATAGGTTAATAGCGCCAAATGTTTTGGAAGAGTCACGTGTTAGGGTCCAAGGTTTGGCTGCAGGCTGGCCAAAAAAATGAGCCCCACAAAAGTCCTGGCTCTGCCGGATCCCTATGGGTGGCTGGGTGACCCTCCTCGGCCAGGGGGCAAAAATCCCCATTTCTGCAGCAGCCCATTTCATTCCTTCACCCTCCTGTCAGCAGACATGGAGACAGAGTGTAACGGGAGACTCTCCCAGGTGTATCACACACACACCCCCTCACTCAACAAATATTTATTGAGCCCCTGTGCACCGGGCAGCTCGGCTTCTGCAGCCTCAGCTGCTCACGGGCTCCTTCGCCTGTGGCGCCACCTGCTGTTCCTGTGGCGTCAGTGCAGCCTGCGGCCGCGCCAAGCCCTTCCCAGTAGCGACGGTGAGAGTCCCGGGCACCCCCGCCCAGACCAAGATCTTCAGGAGACAGGTGGCAAGGCCGAACTGGAAGGCAAGAAAAATGCAATATACGATGGACAGAACAAGGCTCTCGCGGATGGGAGAGACTTGGGAGGGAAACGGAGGAAAGTCGATAGGCAGGCAGCCCTCCAGGAGCCACACTTTTTCCTCTGACATAAAAGCTTACAACAAGCATCTCCAGGCAACCAGGGGAGCCTGCAGCCGCTACTGTCCCCACTGCTTCGCCAGATGTGTAGAGAGCTGCTGAGACGGGGCCGGGTGAGGGTGTGGGGAAAGGTCTGCGCCCGAAGCTCAATAAAATCCAGTTGGGACTTGCACTCTTTTCGCTGCTTAAGCAGATGGTGGTCGGATGACAGTTTGGGAAGGGCGACTTCCTCCTTCTCCCCCAGGTCACATGTGGGGAAATTGCTCCCCCAAGTTCTCACTCCTAACAGCGTCCCGGGATGAGGCCAGAACACCCCTGTGTCTAGAATAACATCTGCATGTTCTTCTCCCTGGGCCTGCCACCTCCCACTCCCATTTTCCCAGCACCCAACCCAGTTACCTGGTGGAACTACTAGCCAAGAAGAGATTTAAGTTTTGCAGCTGTAGGCTAGGAGGTGAGGCTAGGAGCACAGGACATTTGTACCTCAGCTGGTTTTTAGTGTATCCAAATTAAAGGTGTGTGTGTGTATGAAATTAGGTTGCTCAGGACTCAGAACCCTAGTGGATTCTTGCTTGGTGGGTTTGGGAGTGGGATCCTGAACATGCATACAGAATCACAGAACCCCAAGTGATTCTGCCAGAATGCTTCTCACAGATTAAGAATCATCCCCCTGTCTAAAAAGACACCCCTCCTCCAGGATTCTTTCAGGTGCAGTGGGAAAATAATAGTCTTTGTGAACTTAGGGCTCCCTTTGGGCTAGATTCCCTGCTCCACACTTTACAAAAAAACCCTCAGCTCTTGCACTGCAACTCTTTGAGGGGGCATCATTTTTATGTGAAATTTAAAGAGGATTAAAGAAGTTACTTGACCTTCCCAAAGACAGGGACAGGATTTGAATTTTATTCAATCTGATTTCAAAGAATATGCTCTTTTTCTCTAACCCCTTCCCAATACAATGACACTCTTTACTCAAGTGAAATAGAAATGGGTGACATATTATTATTTGGGCACAATGATTTTAAAGCTATTTAAAAGTATAGGCAATACAGATGGGCATGGTGGCACATGCCAGTAATCCTAGAGGCTAAGGTAGGAGGATTGCGGGTTCAAAGCTAGCTTCAGCAATGGTGAGGTGCTAAGCAACTCAGTGAGGCCCTGTCTCTAAATAAAATACAAAATAGGGCTGGGGATGTGGCTCAGTGGTTGAGTGCCCCTGAGTTCAATCCTTAGTACCCCCCTCCCCCCCAAAAAATAGGCAATACAGAGTTGGGCACCATGGCACATACCTATAATCCCAGCTACTCAGGAGGATGAGGCCAACCTGGCAACTTAGTGAGACCCTGCCTCAAAATAAAAAGGAGGGGGAGCTGGGGCTATAGCTCAGTGGCAAAGCACTTGCCTCGCATGTGTGAGGCATTGGGTTTAATCCTCAGCACCACATAAAAAATAAAGATACTGTGTCCATATACAACTGAAAAAATAATAAATAAATAAAAAGGGGAGCTGGTGATGTAGCTTCATGGTACAGTGGACCCCCCCAAAAGGCAATACATTTTATAATTTGCATAAATATCCAAATATATCCAGTACTGTTGCACAGCAATATGAACACAATCTTTTTTGCTGTTGTAGTACTGTGGTTTTAACCCAGGAGTGCTCTACCACTGAGATATACCCCCAGCCCTTTATAACTTTTATTTTGAGACACAGTGCACATCTGTGTCTTTCCACAATGTCAGAATTTATTGAACAATAATAAATTCACAGGTTATACCACTTTCAATGGTGGCAGCTCAGTGGATACTAGTGGGTTAGTAGTCATAAACTGGGCAATCCTAAGTTCTTTTATTCTGATTTTTTGGGTACCAAGGATTGAGCCCATGGGTGCTTAACCACTGAGCAACCTCCCCAGCCATTTTTTAAGTATTTTATTTTGCAACAGGGTTGCACTAAGTTGCTGAGGCTGGTTTTGAACTCATGATCCTCCTTTCCCAGCTTCCCAAGTAGCTAGAATTTCAGGCAAAGAGCCACTGTGCCTGGCTTTAATTCTGATCGGAACTACTAATATCTATAACACTCAGGTCACACATCACACTTTACTCAATTGAAAAAAAAAATCTATACACATATTACAGAAAGGCTAAGAAAGGGGTAAGGCAGGCACAGGGGTTCAGAAGAGCAGATACTAACGCAAAGAGTCACTGCAGGTGCTCAGATGAGTTTACTAACCAGAGCCAGCTGAAGAACTTGTTCAGATGCAACGCTGTCAAAGCACAGGAGCTTGCTCTAGGCCAGGGTCCAGGTGGAGGGGGTCTCAGAGTGTCCGCTTGGCATGGGCGGTACATAGTCATCAGGGGCAGGAGAAACCCTGCTCTGCAGAAGCCTGAGGACCGACATTCAGAGGTTTGTCAGTGGCTCTGTTCCTGGGCAAGGCTCTTGATAAGTGACCAGCTGGCTAGGTTAGGGGGCTGCCGGGTTCAGTCTTGGGGTGTTCCTCCTTTTATGATCCTTGTGTAAGGGGGTTCCTTCTTTCAGTGGTCTGGTGTGTTTGATGAGCTCATGGGCCTGGTTTTCTGGTATGAGTTTGCTACACCTCTGGGTCCATTTGCCAGCTTTTTCTGGGAGGGAGAGAAAACAACCCCTTGGCATGGGGGCTGATGTTTATAAAGGGAGAGTAGTTAGAGGCTGGACGAGAAATGAAGCCAGGATGAAAAAATAACACAATGTCAGCTTGCACATTGCCCTCCTGTTAGTTTTTGCAGACAAGGGCATGGGTCAAGTGTACGAGCAAGGTCAATTCTTGGTTTGCTCAGGAATTGAGCACCCCCCACCGCCCCGCAGTACTGAGGATTGAACCCAGGACCTTGCACATGCTAGGCAAGTGCTCTTGCACTGAGCAGCATTTCCAGGCCCTTGTTTTGTATTTCAAAAGTTGGTGGGTGTTCCCTGCATCCCCACAGCTCATGGATGTTTCTCTTTTGAGACTCAGACTATCTTTCTTTTTCTATATCCCAAATTTCTATCCTGTTTTGGCTCTAGAATCTGCCCTCTTTACAACTCTGTGATATTGTTGCCTGTGTGGCCTTTCCTCTCTGCCCTGGAAACTTGGGGAGGGAAAGATTTGATCATGTTTACTTTATTATCCATAAGATTTTTATCGGTCGGTAAAGACTTTTTGTATCTGTTATAATAAATTCACACATTCACACAATAAAACAGTGTCATTTGGTCAAGGCCATTCCCCAGTACCTCCCCTTTGCCTCCCCTCCCTCCCCCTGATCCCCCTCCTCTGTTTTACTGGTCTCCCTTCTATTGTTTTTTAATTTGTTCCAATTAATCATACATGGCAGTGGAATGCATTTTGACACATTGTGCACAAATGGAGCACAACTTCTCATTCCTCAGGCTGTATGTGGTGCCGATTCACACCAGTAGTGTAATCATATATGTATAGGGTAATAATGTCTGTCTCATTCTACGACCCTTCCCATCCCCACTGCCCCACCCCTCTCCTCATTCCCCTCTACATAATCCAAAAT